TGGTCACTTTAAATAGGTAATTTAAAGTTATTTTAATATTATTTATATTATATAAGATTATTAATTATGTCTCTAATATTTGTAATTATTTTCTAAGTAATATAACATCTAAAAAAACATACTATTGATAAGTATACTATTTTCATCCCGAATTAATAATTATTTTAATTTTAAAATAAAATAAAATTGTCACTTTAAATATTTAATTTAATTTAAAATTATAATTATTTTTCACTGTGAAGAATACACAAAATCTACATGATAATTCAAACAATCTACTTTTATGTTATAGTGGTAAATTATTAAACTACACTTTTTAATGAGCATAAAAATACTTTTTGCAATAGTTCAAAATGGAATAGGGATAGTAAATTTGTACACGAAATAATTGGATACAAGATGAAGTTGTTAATTTAAACAATTTTTAGCTACACATAAAAAAAATACTCATTTTGAACTCCGTAATGCATTAATAGAGCATTATGGGAGCAACATAATAGTCTTGAAAGTCGAGTATTTATGTAAAATTTAAAATTAAATTTTACGATAATGCTTTATTTATTATGTAATTGTATTTCATCAATGATTTCACTTTTATTTGAATTGTTTGTTAGTATGTATTATACATAATATTTGTTGTAATTTATTTTATTTAGAAATTTAGAATAAAATATAATTTTATATTTAATGAAAAATTTGAAAAGAACAAAATTTATATTACACAAAGACTATATAGATTATAGGGTAATTATTTGCAAAAAGAAGAAATGATTTATATTATGAAATAAAAAATAAAAAAATAATATTGAGGAAAGAGAAAAATAAATAAATTTTAGAGAGTAAAATAGAGAATTGGGTTGAAATTAATTGTCTGAAAAAATAGAGAACTCTATACTTGAAGAGTAAAATAGAGGGTAAGGTTGGAGATGCCCTTATTATCTAATATTCCTATTTTATCAATTTGTCCTCCCTATTCACTTTTGGTGGTTCTTTTTCGATGCTCAATCTAAATATTGTTTACCAGTAAATGAGAGGGTTTAAAAGCACGCGAATTATTTTATTGATCAAACTCCTTTTCTTTTGGCTGAATCGCTGTAGTAAAATATGTGTTGAGCAAGTAAAGATCCAGAGAATGTTGGATGCCTACTATCAGATTGTTAAAACATTTTAGTTTCAATATGGTAGAAACATTAGATTAACTTGAATTTATAATGCAAATTCTTGTCTAACATGCAACAGTTTTACGATTCAATAGAACTTTCCAGGATTCATACACCCACCCCTCAACCTTTGTTTAGTTGGATTGGAACTTCATCATGAAACTCGACAAATAAATCAAAGTAAGGATTTGAACTACAAAATTGGAGACAATGTTGAAACATACATGGTTGATAATTGGTGTAGTTTGGTGCTGTGGGTTCTCATCTCCATATGGATCAGCACACAATATATGTACAATTCAAATTCTGTGTGATCTTACAGGAAAGTACCACTCAGGAATCGATGGTTTACTACAGCTTCCGCGATTGGCCTCCCACGGTAGTCACGATTTAGCATTGCCTGCATAGTTTGAAGTAATAGTATGAAGAAACTTGATGGGAAAAACGAGTTGCTTTGAAACTAAGACAAACTTTAAAGCACTCTTCCTCATAGTCACGGTGCTTCGTGTCATTTGCAGACCCAAAAAAGTAGAATGGAAACAGAAAATATTGGTTGCAATATTTGAGATATTCAACCTGTAGTAACTCCCAGCCAGCACCATCACCTAGATCAAGAAACTTGACTGCTTCTAGCAGGCGATCATCAGCAGAACAATACCTGTCAAATATAAGAATGAATGGTCTTGATAGGAACTGATGATGTATGTGTGTTTAGTCGACTCGAGAAGGTGGGAAATGTACAAGGACCAAACAAAATCAAATAAAAAATCTCTCAACTTGAATCAAACCTAAATAGCGGTTATACTTAAGGGGCTACTAGCAAAATTCACTAGACCACAGTGACGTCTTTTTGCACTTCATTGTCATCTCTCTCTATCTCTCTCGCGAACGGGTGGGTTTGGGGTGGAGGGGTGCCTTCCAGACCCTACATCTCTACAACTCCTAGCTATGGACTTAACTTTGTCGGCCAATAAAACGTGGTAAACCACATAAACATTGTATGACCTTAAGCCTGTCCAAATTTTGGTCATTTTTAGTTCTATTTCAAACCATAGAATTCAAAGTGAGGTCTCTTACTCCCTTGCAGCTTGAAGATCAAGTTGAAAAGTATTTTCCAGAAGCCTCTGCAACGGGATGACAGAAGAATAACAGAGGACAATAATCAGCTACAACCCAAATAAGATCAGAAGATAAAACATTTAAATAATTGTACAGGTCACAAACCCGCAATGATATGCTGTCCATGACTCCTGCTTCACAAAATGGAACAAAGGCTAAATAAGCAAAAAGCAGTCCAGCTTCATATCTGCAAATAACACAAGAATTGATATGAGAAACCTAAAATTTTAACCCAACGAAAAGTTATTGTACTCGCTGAATGTACATGTCATCTGCTATTCCAAAAGCTCTTCTTTCCAAAGGACTAGACGCTCCAGCAACAGATGCCCGTCTCCAAAGTCCTTCTGACAAGATATTAGGACGATCTTCGAGTTGAGAATACCTATAAAGCCAAAA